AAGTAATAGCGGGTGGAAGTTTTTGATGTAAATGCCATGTCGTGAACCACTTATGTCGTGCATAAGCTTTTTATTCGCAACATTAATAAGCTTTTACGGGAGAGGTAATGCCGCTGTACCCCTGTCGTTAGGAGTTTTTGTTGTAGCACTAATGTTGTGGACCCCGTACTTACCTCGTCGAGTTCGTTTGGGCATGGCACCGATAATTACCGTTGCAACCTTAATATGAGCTTGATCACGCATCTACCACCTGTGTGAAATCATTCAGGGGCAGTCGGACGCTAGGTAACACAAGGTAAACAAGCGGAATGGTGGTAACAGTACAGTATGTTCAGTGCTCGAATTTCGGTTGTGCCATTGCCCATGAACGCCTGTATGGTCAGTACAGTCGCTGGCATGCCATGAGACGAGGCGTAACTTGCTTCTTTTTTGTAAACAAATGTAACATGGGAGAGCTGTTGCGGCTAACAAATGATGATAAATCATGATTACTTTATATAATTATTATCATAATTATATTATATGTTTCACCACAGTGACAGAATGTGTGAAAAATGCATGCGAGGTTTCGTCGAGCGATAATTCAAATCATCTTTGCATAGCCGAACCTCATCCAGGTCACTCAGCGAGGTGAACTGCACTCAAGCCATCGGTGACACACCAAAGGTCTTCAGTATTTTTTATGAAATAAACCACCGTTCCCATTGTTTTTGGACCAAGGCATTTACACAAAAGTTTGTATGCAAAGGTTTGTGAGCAAATGTTCGCACGACATAAAGTGCGCATGGAAAATGCTCTCATTGACAAAGTTTGCACCACAAATATAGTATGCATCAGGAACATACGCAGCTGTTCGTAAGAAAATAGACATACTCATATATTCGAATCGGATAAAGGCACGCAAAGGTTGATGAGCAGCATAGGCACCATCTGGCACCAGTGGCGCGCTCAAAAGTGTTAGGCGAAGTTGTTGACAGAGGCGTCGTCGGGGTCAGGGATAAAGGGAAGCGCAGCAAATTCGGTGGATGATCTGCAGTAGACATGTGTTTTTATTTTCTAAGCCTCCATTGCCCTACATCTCCGGGTTATCTTGCACTGCCTCAATTGATTCAAGTTCATTCGCTGGCCATCTCACAACATCAAAGCTCGTGCAATGGAGAGCTGGGTTTTAGTGGAAATGCCTGACTTGAGTCGTGCAATTGTCAACATCCATTGCCACCCCCTAACCCCTCCTCTCCCCAGTCGACGGAGTGTTGTGTACCACACGGTGACATCCATCTGACACCTGACACCAATAATGGATGTCTGCATTCCAACGTTCAGTACACATCTGCATGCGGAGTTTTGCGCATGTACTAGGGTCAGGCAAACTCATCCCTGCGAAACATTTTCTTACAATCTTGGTGTACTTTTATCAGATGCCGAAATGCGAGCCTCTGCTAACCTACACAAAATACTTGCTTGCGATCTTTTTCCATACGAACCTATGCGAACGAAGCTTTTTGGTACGGACTTTGTTCTGACGAACACTTTACCATGTGATCTTTAACCATGCGTACCCTCACTATTACGAACTGCTGCCGCTGCGCTTACGAAGTTACCTGTGTGCTTTATCCTGGCGAACAATGTCCATACGTACGTTATCCTACGAACAATAGCCATTCTTAGTTGTTCTATACGCACATAAGTCCGCAGCCCGTTCAAACTGGCGCAGAGCACATGGTTTGACGCCTGTTCGCAGCTGGCGCTCGGTTCGCGGCACAGACAGAAGGAGCAAGATCGCAGGCTCAGCCTCGGAACACGGTGTGACGCTTCTTGAGTACGTACACCGTGACAAACGGCACCAGTGCCCTAGAATTGCCGACTTTGGGTGTAAAGCAACACCCTATGAGGAGGAATATCTCACTCCTTTTTCTCTTATTTTATGCGAACTTTTTGTGTGAATTTATGACCAAATCCATAAAAAAGAAAATTTCACTCTCGCTCGACATTGTCTAATCCCACATGCCAAACCCCTATTTCCCTTTCTGGGGTTTTCGTATGTCATCCAAAACCGAGCTCACTTGAAACCGCCAAGCACAAACGAGGCTCCACAGAACCTGGACACCTATGGCTATGTCTTGCCTCACCTACATCTGAATCATGTCTATGTGTGCACAGAGCGAGGGCGCCCGGCCCAAGAACCCCAGCGGCTCCTGCCGCTTGCACGCATCAAGTTTGGTTTGCTTACAAAATGCATCATCATAATCGGCAGCTGTGTGCCAAATGCAAGGTTTTCACGCATCCCCTATTTTTTGGTCTCACCACCACACCACGAAAGCAGAGCCTGGTGAAAACACCAGCAAGGCCTGGTAGGGAATTTTACTCTACGTAGTTCTTGTTCCCGAGCAAGCTTGACCACTAAATTGCATCACTTCCGAAATGCTGGAGTGAAAATTCAAGAAATGTCTTCTAAATTAAACTTACAAGATGAATATCACCATTTTAGCACTTCTGTTAACAGACTTTAAGTCAAATCAGCTAATTGCAAAATTTTGCGAAAAAGGTATCAGTCTTTGTACTTATTTAACTACTTTTGTTTTTCTTGGTACCATACGAATGTGATGCCACTTTATTCTTCTTTCCTTTTCGATTGCCTTCGGAGGCACCATCTGTTGCTTAAAATGTTGAACAAGTTCTCTGCAAAATGCTCCTACTGCAAACTTGCACGTATTTCATACATAAATTGGATTAATTCGCCAACCGCCCAAACATGTTTCATATTCACTCAAGAGTGAACAATTCGCAGGGAATGAAGGAGACAATTTGAAGCACGGAACTTACTTCTACCGGCATTTTTGCCCTGTTAAACCCTAGGTTAACCGATTTCTTGGTGAGCTCTGGACATTCTGTACATTGGACATTCCGTACTTTGGACAATCTGTACCTTTGGACATTGTGTACCTTGGACAATATTAACGCTTCCCATTTGTTTCGCATTTAAATCTCGTAGGTTGGTGGGCACGATTGACATTTATATTTGAGGGTTGAGTGGGATGACTGTCTGCCAGCAGGCCATGCAAAAGGTACTGACTTTTTTGTTTTGGGAGCAGAAAGAAGCCAGTAGGTCTCCTGTGGACCGAGTAATTGCTTACCTTACCTGCTTTCAACACAACATTGGTAACCAGAGTAAGCCATATTTTGTTTTATTCCATCGAGTTTTGTCATAAGACAAATTATGACGCCACGAGGCATGCAATGGGCTTATTTTGTTCCATATTTTTGATTGTTTGCCCCAAATTTCTTCAAGTGGAGCCTCATGGCTGCTTTAACCGGATTCTTCCCATAGTTGTCATGGTTCGCTGACTGGCAAATGACTATGCTGTATATATGCACTATATTTTTAACAGCGACACTCTAAACTGCATAGTAATTATAACATGAGTTATATATTAGCATGTAACAAATAGACAGGCCATCCCATTTAAAATGTGACCCCAACATCTCAAACTTTGTCATTAGATATTGATAAACAAGCGTAAATAGATGCCTTTGCTGCAGCTGAAAAGGGAAGCAGCAATGCTGGTATGGTCATCCAAAAGTTATGTTATTTTTGGGGAAGAGAGATTGTTTTGTGGAGCATACCCATTATTGCCCTTGACATAGGCTAGCCATGGCAATCAAAATAAGTTGTTCAAAGTGATTTAAGTGTTTTGATTTGTATGTTGTCATTTTTGTCTGATGTCAACAAGCATACACAAATAAACTGAACAAGAATGCATGTTGAAACCAGCCAAAAATTAGCTTTATCATGTTTTATCATAAGTGCTGCTGTGAACGGATAGGTGAGTTGGGATGATGTACAACATATAGGCTACTCTAAGTTAGGTTAAGTTGGTTAAGTGCGTGGCAAGTGGCAATGGGAACTGTGCAAGAATCAGTAACTCACAACTGCTGCTGTGATACAAACAGGTTAGACAGGATGAGATGAAGTAAGGCCTCTTTAGGTCAGGCGTAGTTAGAATACTTTCATGGAAACAAGCATTGGTATTTTGTATGAAACAGTGGCAAAATGCTTGTTTTCCCCGACTCCATCTTAACTGAAGCCAGTGGCATGTCTATTGTGTTTGTCTTGGTGATGGGTTGATGTGTAGGGGTGCAAGTATTTTTTGTTGTTTTTGTTTGAGTGTTTTGTGCTTGTTGAATTTTCTGTAGTTATTTTGTTATTTAATTGCTTTGCTTTGTTTTGTGTTAAAAGTGCTGTGGAAGGGAAGTGTAAACTACAGCATCAAATCATTGGTGGCAGTAATTTCGTATGCTCATTACACTGTCATGAAATTACTATGCTTTAATGTATTCTGTTTCACTTAAATGGCCTAAGATGTTAAAAAACAAAATAGTTTTGTCAGGTTTCTGATATTACGTCCATGCCAACTTGAAATAGATGTCTTTGTTTGCTGAAGCATCAGTCACGAGCTTATAAGTTCCATCTATTGTGAATTGATTTTTTCACTCTCGCACGGTCTTTTTGCGATGGAATTTTTCACTCCCACCCTAGTTCAAAAGCGATTCTAACTCCCTGAACAGCACCCATGACGTATGTTAACTTCTGAGTATGGATTGGGAACGCGTTTTGGAACGCTTCGCATTGATGGAGGAATGTAACATGCTCCACGTGCGTAACAAAAGCTCAACGCGAGATATTTGCAAGGCCCGTTTAACAGTGTTACCCTGCACGAGGTGTTCACACCGCTCTCTGTCAGCTTGCATGTTAGGAACTTCCTAGAGCAAAGAAGGTCTTTTCGTCAGCAACACGTCTGGAATAAAACTGAAAAACATAACTAGAGGCATAAATAGCTATGTAACATAACTAGCAATGTTGGCTGCTCTGGTAGAAGGCCCGCACGGGTGCTGGCGAGCGAACGATGATTCCCTGAGCTTTGCCTGCTCCAAACCACGGCTATAGCTCCTTTGTGAAGACCTTTCACTACTGTCATCGCTTCGGCTCCTGAAACATTGCACCGTACCGAGGCGTGTATTGATCGTTAACATCCAGCTCAGGGGAAGTGACACGAGGCGAGGTCAGGCCGCACCCCCGGCCCGCTTCAGCGACCTGGACGCGCCGGTCTGCGGACGGGCGGCGGAGGGGACGCCACGTCAGCCTGGTGGGAGGGGACAGGGCGGGTGGGGAGGGGCTGGGGCCTCCTCGGCGCCATCCACACCCACCAGGACCGTCACCCGCCCCGCTGCTCGGCCGTCCCGCGCGCGGTTACCAGGAGACATGCACGTAGACGTGAATATGAGAAACACCGGCCTCCGGCCGTCGGGAGTCGGGGACGTGACACCGCTGGTTGGCCCGGCCCGACGTGGTGCAGCGGCGGGCGTTGTCAGCCGGTTGGTACAATGACGTCACTGGTGCACCGGCGTCCTCCGACGCTCGGCATCCGTCGACAACGAAGAGGAGGCCCGGCTGAACGACGATGGTACACAGGATTGGAGCATACGCTAGAAACACGCGTCACCTGTAAAGGGATAGCTTTTGCTGGAGTGCGAATTCATGCGTACATGATCAAGTTTTATGAGTTCAGACATCCTGACAGTTATCAGCCTTGATGTTTATGGTGTTTGCATGGTGAGGCTCCAAAAATAGTTCTTTATTCTGCGGCACCAATGAGTGATGATGGCGACTATTTTCTAATCACCTCCAACCATACCTAAGGCACTATGCCAAGTCTAGGTGATCCTGTGATTTGCACAAGTTTTGAGGAAATATTGATGCTCGCCGTGCACACCATGATCGTGCTTCAACTTAGTATTAACCACTGGTCTCAGCTCAAACCCCAAGCACAAAGCTAAACAACGCCTGTGAATGCAACATGACACCAGTATGTAAAACATAACTAACGTGGGGAGTTTATTCTTCCTCCTCTTCCTCCTCTTCCTCCTCTTCTTCCTCTTCTTCTTCCTCTTCTTCCTCTTCCTCCTCCTCTTCTTCCTCTTCTTCCTCCTAAACACATTCACTGGTTAAAGTCTCCGTGCTCATCAGCGTAGAAATAGCCTTCACTGTCAGCTGACGAGTAAGGGACATTCTGACCGGATCGGCAATCACGGCCGATGTTTTGAATTTGAAAAGACAGCGGTCATTGTGTCTCTGATTGCCTTTGACGAGATCTTGGTCGGACTGGATGACCCTCGCCTCGCTACGTACGCATCAGAGCCCAAGACCGAACATGCAGCGAGTGAGGGCTCCCGGGTGATGAGATCGTGACATGCGTATCAGTAGGCTAAAAAAGCCGTTTCAGAACTGCGCACACTAAATTTGCTGCGCGGGAACGCGGCAGTTCGAGTTATCCTTACGATTTAAACGTGGTAATGTGTCATCAGCTTCGTATAGCCTCCGCTGACCATGGTGGGACTGGAAACCCTACTTGGTGTGATGTGGGACGAATGAACGGTTTTCCAGTGATGTAGGGCACATGAGAACACATCATGCATGCATCCTTTCGAATAAACTTTCCAGCTCAAATAGCACTATTTCCACAGCCATGAGATCACAATCTTTCGATTCTGGCATTTTGGGTCTGTCCCAGCGCTAGTTAAGTCATAGGCTAAAAAATGTCAAACGTGTCAGCTGTGCTCCTTTGGTCCTAGAATTATTTTCGCGATGCATGACTTTCTGACAAGGAACCAACGGCACGTATGAGCCTTCCGTGTACATGCTGCGCATGGGTGCAGCGTGACTCAGGCGCCTCGAGTCAGTGCCTTCATCGACCGGTCAGACATGCCCCCAGGCGTCTCGTGATCCCCGAGCGCGCCCGCCCACCTCCTCGACCTCCTGTGGCGGCGGCGCCATCTCCTCCTCCTTCTCCTCATCGTCAGGCGTCTCGGGGTCGTCCGACTTCTTGCCGGGCCGCTCACCGAACCACTTAGGCAGGCGCGCTGGCCGACGCAGAGTCAGGTCAAGGTCAGGCATGATGCAGATTAATACACGCGGTACATAAGACATTATCAGATGTCGTTTTCCTGGTGGCTTTTGAGTGTCAAAATCTAATATGATTTGCTGCGTTTATTCCACAGTATTTTAACTAAAGGGACTGACTGTCATTTGGACATTTCAACGGCACTGAACAACGTAACGTTTTTGAGGAAATCCAGTTGCAGCTTGCTCCCGCTAGCCTGGAATGAGGAAATATCAACTGGCTTTGTAGGTGTGCCCTATCCAGGCGATCCCACTTACATTTGGTCTTGCTTCTGAAGGCTTTCAACCGCTCAGTCCATATCTTTTCATGTGCCTCCAAGGTCAGTTTATCCAGACCCTGTCAAAGGTGCACCATCGCACTAGGTTATTACGGAGCTAATATGTGGCGCATGCTGATGTCCTCTGTCGATGGTCGACGGCCGGACGAGCAACGCTCCATGCTGCCACCTGTCGGTGTCGGACCAAACTAAGTGGTAACGCCTCGCGTCTTCACTGCCGTGCTCATGTGGGATGGTTCGTGCCGAAATGGAATGGTCTAGGGCCCATTGAGGTTTGCCTTTTATCTGGCGGGCCAAACTCTGTGCAAAACCGGGACAAATTCCTCTCCGTGGGACTAGACATTCTACCGCCAACTGCATCTTCTGTCTGGGCCTGCGCATTCTGTTGGGTGCTGCGGTCGAGACCGGGGACCACACGCCTGCTGCCGCAACTACTCCTTCCTTCGGGGACTACACCTCCTGCCAAGCCCGCATGCTCTATCGCTGACTCCGCCGCCTGCATGGTACTACGCTGACGGTCGGGGACTGCAGTCGGACGAGGTGAGACAGGGACAGGGACGAGCTGAGACAGGGACAGGGACGAGGTGAGACAGGGACAGGGACGAGCTGAGACAGGGACAGGGACGAGGTGAGACAGGGACAGGGACGAGGTGAGACAGGGACAGGGACGAGGTGAGCTTCGACTTTCCCGGATGACTACGCTTTTCCGCTCCTCGACTAGGGCTGCTAGTGCGGTTCACCGTCAAAGGTGCAGTTCCGCCCAACGCCGGGGCGCGGCGCTGCGATCGTCCCATGCGAACCGTGCACTCACTCTTGGGACGCTTGCCCCATTCGTCGAGTTTCTCCTCCCACATTTTGTCGTTCTGTTCGGAGAACATCACCGTCCAGCCCTGCAGGTCGGGCGGCCACCGTGCATTATAAGCCGGGCATACTGCCCTGATATGAACATTTGTATCTGGCTCGTCGGCGTTCCGTATGGTTACGTATTGCCATAGCCGTTGGAAACCGCGTCGTTTGTGGAGAGAAAGGCGAGTTGTTTTGGAGTAGTGCACATTGCCCGTTGTATATCTATGACCCGTGAAGCACTCATTTTCAAACCATCAATGACGATGTAAAACATACGCAATTTTTGTAGAAAAACAACGGGAACGATGCCTCACATTGTAAATGACCTAAGCAGCATTGAAGTTGACACAAACAATTTTTCACCATGTTACATCTATACTCAAAGCTTGGAAAAAGCACCGTATTAAGCATAAAAAGGCCGCAGCAAGTAATAAGGGACAAACCTTTCCTACCACGCGACGAACATAGGATTAACCTATCTAAAAAGCAAAAGCATTTAAATGCGGGCATGACAGATCCGATAATCTGCCACCTGGCATGCACTTGTTCCCCCGACAGACACACATAGGTAACAGCATAAGCAAATGTTAAGAGGTAGCTGTGCTACAGTGCTACATTGTCATACAGTCCATACATATGCACGTGCGGCATCAATGGAGGCGTCAAAGATTGATCGGTCCCCTGTGGTGAACGATTTTAGGCAGCCAGCTCACGATGCTCCGATGAAAATCCTCTCGGTACGCGGTTCTCACGACCCTGACGTTAATCTGACCTTTTAAGGCCCGAAAATAACGGAAACCAGTCATTTAAAAAGTAAGTCATTGCCATTGCACCAATGATCTGGGCTCGTTCGTTCAAATAATTAGCAGTGGGGCTTGAAAGAACGTACCACCACTCGTATTAATCTTAAGTCATGGACACCTAAACTCTTTACATAATCGGGCTGCACTAGAGAAAGAAAGCACGTTTCATCGTCCCCAGACATGATTATAAATATCCACTCACTCCGTTGAAGAGGTCCTGCTTGTCGACGTACGTGCGATGATCTATAGTCCTCTCGAACTTTGAGGCGACCCGAATCTTGGGCTAGAACGCACCCGGCACTACCGGTCAGCATGCGACACTGCACTGCGACCCGGGATCTACCGCCCTGCTCCGCTCAGGTGCGATGCTACCCTGTGAGCGATGCTCTGAAGGCAGGCTGGTGCCCGCTCTCTACCGACTGGTACTGCGTGCAGCTACCTCAGGAGCCATACAGCCCTCCTTCTACGGCACTTACACCATCGAACAGGTGTGTCTTCTCAGAAAATGTCCGCCTATCAACTTGCCTCTCGAACTTGGACGCCAAGCGCACTTTAGGCTGAAACGTTCGGCAACGTATGGGATCTACGGTAACCGGGCCGGCACAGTCTTGACATTTGTAATGGAACCTGACGCCCATTATAAAGAATTTGGGGATATTACAGCAGTGTGTCATGGTTACAGCGTAATTGGTGGGCACCGTTATATCGTGATGCACCAGTATTGTAACGAATTGTAAATCTAGGGCCTCGTAGCAGACAGTGTCATGTCCTAGGGCTGGACCATATGCCAAAGAAAATGTCCTTATGTATATTATACGTACCGGGTGTTTTCCGGTGAGGGCCCTGAAAAACAGGCGGGTGACGTCATATACAAGTTAACGGACATATCGCTGCACCTTCGCACAGAGGACTACTTTAATGTACCAAAACTCGGCGCGGCGGCGGAGCAGAGACACGCATAACAAAAATCCCCGCGTACCGGCACGGCTTTTGAAAGCGCGTTGACGGCATATGGACGTGATTAGCCAAGGCATCTATGACCCTGCCACATCAAACGACTTTTCAAGTCTTTGAGTGAGCACATTAGGCACCCTGAAAAGTACGAGCAGGCCCTCAGCAGGCACTGACGTCATACTCACTCGGGCTCCAGACCCAACCGGACAGCCTTGTGCCGCAGCTGCATTTTCTGCCGCTCTTTCAGCTCTTTCAGCTACGAAGTCCCAGGTGGAGAAACGGGCTCGATTACACGGATCTGATCCGACCGAGTGCACTGCGCATGCATCAGATCTAACAACGGGATGAGAGGTGAGGGGGTGGGGCAAGACTGATGCCGGCTTTGGGGAGACTTCCTAGGTTTCTAAAAGGTATGTTGAACTATGCCTCAACTGGCCAGAATGGTTGCGTTGATGTTCATTCGCATTTCACGTGTCACTGCGGCGCGTCTGCAAGACACTAGTGGTTGTGTCAAGTAGGGCATGCTTGATGTTACTTGGTTTATCAGAACGTTACGTGCCGTACCAGCGTTAAGTATTACGCAAATTGTGTGTTCATGCAGTCGATGCATAATGCCATCTTCCCATGGTCAAGGGCAGGACTTCACGGATGCATAGGTACTGCTGCCCATTCTTATGGCACTTTCAAACACCAATCTATAGATTTATACCGGCCGTGCATATATAATTTTGGCCTGCAATGGATGCACAAGGGCTGCTGGTAGCAGATGTGTGCTACGGTGATCTAAGAAAAAAGAAAAGAATAACACCTGATCCGTACCGAGGGTGAAGGGAACCGTGCTCACATAATGCATAGCAACGTCTGGGGACGCCTAACACCGAGACAGTTGCTCGTGCTAACACGTTTTACATCCACGTGCCCAGGCATCGGCAGCACTTACTCGGGATCGAGCCCCTTCTTAAGCGCTTTGTGTCGCAGCTGCTGCTTTTGCCGCTCTTTGAGCTCTTTAAGCTACAAAAGAAACACCCCAATAGTGTCTACCGTCAGGAAAATGGGTCTAACAGCCTGGCATACTGGGACACGCTAGCCGCTGGCATCCGTCTCGAACGGTCTAGACACGGCCACGGACACATTCGGTGAAATGGCATCCATTTCGGGACTGCAGACTCGTCTGAAAACGCAGTGGGAGCAAGTGCGGTGTCTCCCACCGTTTTACAGGCTAACACCGCACACACACAGTGGTGGAAGAGGTCTGAGCAGTCGCATACCGGACTTATGTCCACCATCTGATATATGTCCACTATCGGATACATGTCCACTATAAGATGCATTTCCAATGTCAGATATATGTCAGCTTAATAAAGGATATGTTCTTTTTTGGAGATGGGCCACTTTTCGAATATATCCAATATCAGACATATATTGGCCGTTGTACGTAGCAGGATGCCGAGCACATTCGGGATGTCCATGTGCCATTTACCCATCGTGCCTGAGACTCTGCTCAAACGTCTTTCACGTGCATGTGGCTAACAGCAGACGAGAGCACGTGAGACGCATTCGATAACCACTCGCATTTTTGTGCTCCATGCAGTGGCCAGACGCGATATCGATCAGCCCAGCTGGTGTCGTAGAAGCCCGTACTAAAAGGTTGTCAAAGCAGCGCTAAGTAAGGACTTAGTTTGCATTGCTTTTCTCCAACTCAGTCCGAGCGAGTGTCCTGGAGTTCAAGCAGCCTTGCCTAAGCATGATCGCATTCGTCGAACTTGGACTACAGACTAGATGTTATATGCGCGTGCGAACAACACGGCGTTTCTCTTACTCAGGATCCAAACCCAATTTAATGGCTTTCTGTTTGTTCTGCTGTCTCTGCCTCTCTTTGAGCTCTTTCAGCTGTAATGATTGAGATAAATCGATAATGGCGATGTGGGATATAGCACAATATAATCAAACTGCAATGAAGCGGTTCAGTTTAGTAGTATTAAGCTAACAGTTTAATTGGCTTAAGGGCACATAGCTAAACAAAAGGCTGAAAGAAGTTGTGGGGTGGAAAATCGTCATTACGTGCTTTGTGTCAACTCGATCTGAAAAACAGGATGCGCTTGGCGGCGTAATCACTGTCAGTGCTCGTCGCAAAGCAGAACCCATCCCACCCTGCAACATGTACAAGTTGCCTGGAAATTGTAGCGCGTCCCTGCGATAGCGATGTTGCCTTCGCACAACAGCTGCAAAGCAGCAGAGCTGTGCCATCCGCAACCCGTCTCAGGGAGCATCCCATCGCACAACAGCTGCAAAGCAGCAGAGCTGTCCCAGCCGTAACCCGCCTCAGAGAGCATCGAGGGCGTGAGCTGCTTACGTCGTAGTCCTGCCGCTTCTGTCGCTCCTCGAGGTCATACTTCTCTGTCTCCAGCTTCACGATGTTGTTCCACATGTCCTCCGCCTTTTTCTTCAGCGCCTCCAGGCCCAGACCCTGTGTGCGGCACCAGCGGTGGAAGCAGCGGCTGGGACAACACTGAACCGGTGAGGGGTCCCAGGAAAGGGCGTTGTCTGCAGCCCAGACCCGGTCTGCACAGGAGGAGGGAAGTGGCCACTGTTGCATGAGTCGGCTCTTCCATGCTACGATGGGACATGGATTGGGCCAACACCGCATCTGTCCTTTGAACTTTGAACAGCGCTAAGTGTGAGGGGCATCACATTTGTTTCACCCTCACAAGGTGTGCCGATTTTTCGTAAAAAAACAACACTTTGTATGCATCCAGTAAAGAAACTTTGCTTCACACTAAGTCTTCTTGGTGGGATGAACGCAACCCATAAAAACCACCAAGACACCAGTGCACGAATGGAGACCAGTAGGTCTCTTAACATCGCTACTGTGCTAGATCGATGGACCGGAGGAGTTCGGTGAAGAGCTGTGGGCAGGCACGCACCTCCACTTTGAGTGGCTGGATGCGGATGCTGAGTGCGATCTTCTTCTCTTCAGCCAGCTGCTCCTTGGTCTTGCTGATTTCCGTCTTGGCAGCTTGGATATTGGAAAGCTGAAATTTGAGCCGGGGTTGGCTTTAAAAGCGGGCTGATGACATGCACAGCTGACCTATCCACTCACTTTCGTCTATATGTAAGAGGACATTCCAATCGATAATATGTGAGACCGAACACCTTGACACCTGGTTTAGAACGTACCAAAACCGTTCCGTCATTCTCAAAACCCATGAACCGACGATCAGGATGCCAACAAAATCATGATGCCATGTCCCTCGAACTGAGCAAACGAAAAGGTTGAAAAAATTAATCTCAAAGCAAGTTTGCAGCCTCACAACTTGAAGCAGGTATGTACATTGAGATGACCCCTCCGACCGATTTGCAGCCTCACAACTTGAAGCAGGTATGTACATTGAGATGACCCCTCCGACCGGTTCAAGCTAGCTCCGTTGAGTCCAGCTGCTGCCATGACCACGAGCTCCTCACCTTGTCATCCTTCTTGCCGACCTTGAAGTTAGCGCCAGCGCCAGCGGCCGCCTTTTGCGCCTGCGCAAGCGCCTGACGCTTCTTCTCGGCCTCCTGCAGGCGGCGCATCTTTTCCTCTTGCTCGCGCTGCTTCTTCTCCTGCTCCTCGCGGTAGCGGCGCTCGTCTTCGGCCTTCTTGGCCTCAGTCAGCCGCTTCTCCTCCTCGGCGCGCAGCACCTGCCGGGGAACGCGGGGTCGACGTCAGTGGGAGTGGAAGGCGGCATCAGCGGCAGCGGAGGAGCTGGCGAGATCGCCGTCACGGGCAAACGAGGAGTGACGTTGTTGGGATCCCACTCCCCCCCCCTCCCCCAGCGAACGGGGAATATCAGTCTCACCGTCCTGATCTTGGAGATACATCGAGGACGGCAGAACATATCTGAGTTCATTGCCAGCGCACGGTAGTAATGCTACTAGCGATACTGCTTACTACAATACTGTGAATACAATGCAACGTCCCTCCCCCCCCCCCCCCCCCACCTCCTTCGTCCCAGGCGAACCTTTCTCTTGGCCTGCTTCTCTTTCAGCTTCTTCAGCTCGTCCTCCTCCTTGGATCTCTGTTTGCGCCATTCTGCGATGTACTCCTTCAGTTGCTCGTCCAGCTCAGTGTTCTTCTTCTCCTGGCGATGCTGTCAATGTACAAACGATAGTCTAGGTCAACTTGGCACGATGCAGGCATGGGCATGAATTTAATCTGCACAAGGAAATTACGCAGGTTAGTCAAACTGTCGTCGACAGTGTAGGCGTTTGCATGGCATGTTTCGGAAGTGCTGTTCAAATCATTTCAGGTTGTTATACCAGGCGTCGATTGAGTTAGTTACAAACGCCTCCTTCATGGCATCAATGCGATGTTGACAAGCGAAGGATGTGTAATATGACTACTGTAACCGTTCAGTTGGTATGTTACCACTATTTTGGTGGACCACTGAATGGTAACTGTACCGAGCATACTCACCGTGAACATGTTCTCCTTTTTCTCCTCTTGCCTGGAAAATGCAAGCGCTAGTGAATCTTAGGTCCGATGCTGCTTTGGTAATTTTTGGTTCACCGACAAGCACTTCAGTTCTCTGCTTCACTCAAGCAACATCTAACGTCCCATAAATATTGCAATTACCGAGGTCCGCAAGCTGTTGAAATGCTACTGAGTCACGTCACTGTGTATCGCATGCAGTTTACGATCTTGAACAACATACATGTTGACTGAACAGCATTACTATGTCACGTCTTGTCAACATTGTCAATATTGTGATGTTATAAACAACATCGCACACGGTTAGAACACGGCAGTACATAGAACAGAACAGAAGACCGGCGTCGTGCTTCGTCCTCTGCATGTGCCGGCCCCTGCATGTGATGGATTATGGTGGGAATATGCGGGGACCTGACCCGCACACTCTGCTCATTAGCTCACGACAAAGGCAGGCTGAAAATTGGCCCACGACCGCAGCACATGAAGCTGGTCCCCGAACACACAGTCACCAGACAGCACAAATGCTCCGCACAAAATGTTTGGACAAATGCGCCGCACTTCCTGCCGGCTTGTTAACCAGAGCCATGCGTGAGGCTTTGTCACTTAGTGCAGCCTGGGACAAGACAAACGACATTTTTCAAAAGCATTTGGCGGGATTTACAACCACTGAAAATCAATGTCTGTTAAGCGTTTTACATTCATTGGACTTCCACCCGTTGACAAATTAAAAGCCAAAAGTAGCAGCGAAGAAGGCGACCCAGGCAGCAGCCACATCAACAAATAAATCCGTCTCACTTACTTCATGGTTTTTGATCTGTGAATAAATAAGACAAATTATAATTCATTTCAGTGCCGTGCACAGGTGCTTGATGGGTACAAGCGAGGTAATAAACACAGCACATTGTGTTTCTCGTTTTGTCGGCCTCGTCGCCTCGGCCGTCATGCTTCCTTTGTAAACGTGCTGTGGGCTTCTGAGTTTTACAGTTCTAATTAGTGAAGGTTACCGACTAATTTCTAAGTTCTGACACTCTCAAGTTACGTAACCCGACTACCAAGTGACTGCTAGATGTCACTACGTGGTAGTGGACGGTTGATGTGGCATCATTTTATGCCAGCACTACGTAGATAAGGCACAACGCGCTGCATGCAGCCCACATCATTGGTGATGCTGAATACCATGAAGCTAATCATAAAAACGTCAAATAATTATCAAGCCGGTATGTGTGAGAAAAAGTGTGTAAACCAGAATCGGTTTGTACGTAATGCTGCTGTCAAAACGACATACATAGCGATACTGATGACAATGTACGTATGAAATAATGGTGCCTCAAACGAGAAATCCCTCAGAATGTACAACAAATCAATATAGACTCAAGAGATGTCTGACTTCTGACAGAGCGGGAGATAGAGGTGCATCCAGAAGGGGAGGGGCATCAGTCCATTCACGCCCCCCCCCCCCCCTCCCCCTAACTGGGTTCCTACAGTCGGCCGAACAGATGTAGTTTTCAAAACATAAAACGCAACAAAATTGGATGTCTTTGGGTTTCCAGGCGACCAAGAACAGTCGCAAGCAAAAGTGAAGGACCCATCAGCAAAGGAAAATAATTTTTCACTGATTGGGAGGGTAATAGTTTGGAGATTTTAGGGCGCATTCATCGTTCCATAGGCTCATTCATCACCATCCTTTTAATGCTTGGGGTTCCTGTTGGGGGCCATCTGATAGCCTGTTCGGGTACGCTCAATCCTTCAGGAGCACTCCGCACTGGGTCCTGGGTACTTCTTGTCTGAATAGAGGGCCCTACGCTTCTGTCGGGGCCCTTCTGATAGCCTCGTGGGCACACAGAATCATTCAGTGACCCTCCACGGTGTGGCGTGGGTATTTTGTATTTGAATGGAGGGCCCTACGCTCTTATCGGTGGTCCTATCTGTCAACCTGCTGGGGTGCACGTGATCGTTGGGGGCCTTCCATATCGTGCTGTGGCTATTTCTTATTTGAATGAATGACCCTATGTTTTTGTCGGGCCCGTCTATTAAGCTGCTCAGGTCAGCAGCGGATCCAGAGGGATGGGGGCGGGAGCATGCCCCTTTGTGCCCCAATGGCGACCCAAAGGCTGCGAGGGGCCCATAACCGGCCGAGCGGATGCAGTTTTCTGACAACACGCATCAAATTTGGACGTCTTTGGGTCCCAGATGACCAAGAACAATCGCAAGCAAAAGGGAAGAGCCGTTAGAAGACGAGGTTAATCTTTCGCTGATTGGGAGAAATTTTGAGACTCATTACACTGGCCAGAGGCTGCACGCTGTTTCCGGGGCCCCATAAATACCGACGTCGTATTCGTCACTTCTGTTGGTCAATGAAATTGTGACACTAATCATACTGTTACGTCACATTTTTAATGCCTTTTAAATTCTAGGATATGTCGTACCCCTTGATAACAGACAGAGCAAAAGCTTTACATTAGTCATCAGCCATCAGCTATACACATCGACCAGCCGGCTAGCCGTAAACAAGCTATGAACCAAGCTCGCGCCTGGTTTGGATAGCACTTAACAGTCGACATTTTTTTGTCAAGTTCGTATGCAAAAAGCTCAACTTCAAAATGACAGGATTCACCATGATCTGGGGAAAATTAATAAGCTCTATGTATGTGCATACGCAGCACGCATGGTTTTCTAGGTCTGTACAGCAAGATTGGTTCATGTGTAAAACATATCATGCCAAGAAACACGTCAGTTTTTAAATGCATTTGCGAGGAATATTATTCACACAGATAAGACAGCAGTAATCGCATTATTCATCGGAGAAAAGTCAGGAGAATGGAAATATACGTGAGTAGATACTTTGGCAACATGCCTTTATCGAAACGAATAGCAGAAGTATTAACGCATCTTTATCTCCATTCTCCTGGTTTGTCTCCGAGAAATGAGGCTGCTAGTAATATATTATCCATGCTAAGAATCTTAAAATTCAATGCCCAAAATGCGGGCTATCTGGAGGGGGCCCGATCTGGAGAAAATTAATAAGCTCTATGTATGTGCATATGTGTTGTATGTGCATACAACATTCAATCAATCAAATAAACAGCAACAAAACCATGTGCCGGAAATGCTCACGATCTATAAATTTACATGCCAAAGAAATACATGCGCTTTCACGAGTCCCCCACTGGCATGCCATTTCGAAAGAGCGACGCAAATTTCATGCTTTAGCACACGTTGTGTTGTGAAAAACTTAGGTGATTCCGACTCGGTTCGCGACATGCTCCTCGGCAAAACTCCACAAATTACAGATAAACGCTAAACCGGCTAGATAGAGCGCAGCCTAGGTCACCGCTTCGGAGTTCACTCATTCATATGGGGGTGCTAAGAGTCCTGTGTGCACTTACTCTTCTTCCTTGATCTCTTCCTCCTCCTCCTCCTCCTCCTCGCTGCTTTTGACGGGCGAAAATACAGGGGTCAGTGGAGCACGTCGCATCAGGTCACCGACCATGCCCAGCACCATACTCATACCACAGAGTCCAGATCTGGGCTGCGTTTCAGTCAAGTTATACCAGTTGTCAGCGCCCGTTCAATGAATTGAACAGCACTGTGCCGAATTTGGCTCATTGCTGGTATTGTGAAAGGCACCGACATGATTGTTTTTATGATATATGACGGAATCGAGAGGTAGTTTTAGTTACCGCTCGCGATACAAATACAAAATGCACCGGACTGACCAAACTTTGACCTTTCCGGTTTCTGAAGCCAAAATGGACCCTGGAATGAGACTTCATTTCAGCTAGCGAAGCTACTACGCTCCTTACGCACCTGGCACAGACCCGGCCGACTGCGGCCGCCACGACGTATGCACGACACGACAGTACATACGCACGCATACGCCGACTGCGCTGCCGTCACCGCTCAGCGCGTCGCCCTCCACGGGCCCTCCTACGACTAATGCCCGACACGGATACTGACGGATACGGATACACGGATACTGGTGAGAACCGCTGGGGCCGGCGCCGAACGCAGGCGGCCTACTACAGGGCGGAAGCTGTCGGAGCAGACGGGACTCGGTGCCGCCCGGGCGGCCGTCCTCGCAGCGAGCCAGGGAGGCAATACTTACACCTCCTCCTCGGATCTGAAACACGGGTGGGTGCTCAGTTACCGGCGGGGGGGGGGGGGGGGCGCCGGCTTGCCGGCTGCGTGCTGAGAAACGATTGGAGCCGCGTGTTGCATTAGATTGAGGCACCAGGATTTATTTGCGTAGCATTCACTGTGAGCACGTGATATTGTTGCTGTGGCATTGATATATATATATATATATATATATATATATATATATATATATATATACTAATCACAAACATCTCCACAACCATGTCCGATCGCGTCAAGTAAATGGGCATAAAAGCACTGCATTGTAAGCGTGAAAGCAAACTCGAAGTTATCGCAGTGTCCATTGTCTGGATTATTACGCGAAATAAACAATTGCTGCTGCATGAATCATAATATAGTTGATCATTTTGTTAAGCATGCTTTTGAAGATACTTACGAGTATTCCTCGTCAGACATTTTGGCGGGTGTTTTCGGTTACCTGTGAATTAAGGCAATCGAACAATGAGTAAAAAGTGGGCAAGACATGTTGCTGTCTGTAAGTGAATACAAAACAACCAATCATCGAGAAAAAAATTATTGAACAGCAACACAATCAGTAACACGCAAAAATGAGATAGATATAATAGAAACGTCTTGTCGAATATTTACACGATGCAAACAGTGCGCCAGAAGAAATCATCTATATCAGTGTTTAAGAAGCAGCAGAACAAGAGGAGTGATCAATTGAAGCGATTACGTGCACCATCTCTTCCGCAACTTCAGAACATTTCAAAAACTGCATGTAAAATTCCAATGCCTTCATCTTCTGCTTGCTTTGTACGTCCGCATTTTTAGAGAGGTAACGGGCTGGGCGCTACTACATGACAAGTTATCCAAATGTGAACTCGAGGAGCTCGCAGTCGTGTCACGCCGTTATCACGCCGCGTTACAACTGAGCATTAACTGCTTCTGCGCACAGCTGAGACCTTGCAACTACATCACGGCGAAGTCTCTTTGAAGGCAGTCAACGTCGAACATCTAGTGAAATGTATTTTTGGTACAGGATGTAAATTTTGGGCCATTTCAACACTCGCATATCGATAGCAAACTTTTATCATATTCTTCTTGAAGCCTCCGCTATTCCTCTCGAGTTAGCGAAAATATGATTTTTCTGCAGACGTCGACTTTTTTACAGCTGACGTCGCTCTAGCGCTTTGACCGAAAACGCGATCATATCTGAGAGTACTGGGATGCATTCGCAGCGAACTGGAGGACAAAGAATCCATGCCGTCCATATCAGTCATGATGCTATACTTAAGGAAACACGTCTGTCAGTGTTCGCAGTGACCTGGACAATGAAAATTCTACGTGACGCCAATTAAAGTATTTGCCGGACTTGCATAACCTTTTCCCGTTATTTGATCGAGGTCAGACAGAAATGGCGTAACAGGTACATCTTTGAACGGGTCAGTTCACGCACCCACGACCGACGACGGGCGAAGAAAAGGTATGCCACATGCTGCAAACAGCAGAATTTATTGCTTCCATGATTAATGCGAACGCGTGGTTCGTACTGACAAAAATGCTTAAACAGCGTAAAGAGGAAATGCCCGATAAAGGAGAAAACACGGAATATAGGTGGGTAGGAGAAGGCGCAACCTTCTACGCATTACACTGACGCGTTTTATCAACGCGTCTCATTCCAAAAAGGGAAAGTAATTTTGCAACGGGCGAGATGCGTAGAAAAAAGCAATCCAACATGCTTCAAGCAGTACTTTGCTAGCATTACGTTAAGGGTGACTCGCAAACAGGTGCAGTTAAATGGCCACAGCAAATACAAGGACATCAGGCTGTTGAAACAGTGTTGTTTTGTCACAAAACACGTGTTCGGACGGCAGAGCTATAAACTCTCTGACCGTGACGCCACGGCAAACATTGCGGCTGCCAGCTTGTTGGAATGAATCATACTGAAGCCTCTACGGGACTGCCCCAACAGCCTTTATCTTGAGGTGGAGCGAAAGGTTGCCAGCAGACAAGCCATGGACATGAAATGGTGCGGAAGTTGAACTATGTCAATGGGAATTGTGGTGATGGGCCTACAAACTGAAACGACCATAGCAGAGCCGTACCATGACCACAGGCCATACTGCCCTATGCTGGGCAGTAGATGGACTGGAACATCCCAATTTAGTATGGAGTTTGTGCTTCAAATTGGGTTCGTGTGTTTGGCTCGGGGAGCGTCGCAAATCTCTCATTGGCAGACTAGTCACACCCTCAAAAATTGTCTTCTATCGTCTCCGAAATCGCTTCATGGCACAGAAAGTTGAGGAGTGCTTACTTTATATAATTGCTTGCTCATGGACGCAAGTTGTCACTTAACGCAAAAAGCACGCCAACGCCTACCGCGTTTCTTGGTGAATGTGTGCCGTCCACTCAAAATGTCACCACAATCAGTGCAAAACAAAAACGCCCTCTGCTCTTGGGTGGGCGTGGAAGACGGCCCAGCTGCGGCGGCCGCGCCGGGGCCGAGAGACACTCACAGCGGCGACAGCAGACGGGCCGGGGAGTGCGCGCGGCTCCGGGCTGTGGAATGGGAGCACCGTGGCCGCGGACTGAGGGCGCGCCGGACCCTCCTGCCGGCCCCGGTCCCCGCCTGGCCGGCCGCCAGCCCCCAAACTTAGCCGGCAGCGGCCCGAGCCGCCGGGCGTCAGCCGCCGTCCCCTGACACGTCCCACTGTCAGCGGTCTGGGAGCATCGCGGCCGTCAGCCGTCGTCCGACCGGCCGCCGCAGCACCTTCGCACCGCAGAGCAGGCGGCCGGCTCATGACTGGGTGTGGCCGACTGACGGATTCACCAAGCTGGCTCTTTGTGGGCGGAAGGCTAGTTTCGAACTGCAATTGACTGCTCATTTCATGGGCTCGGTGGGGAAATCAAGTGTCGGAAAAACACGGTCTCAAAATTACTACTGTGTCGCCATTTGTTGGACATACAACGATACGCCTGTCGTTTCATGACCATCTCGCATGGGCTCAACAACGATTTGTATATCTTAAGTGTTGATCTAGATCTCCAGGTGAATGAATCTGCAAAATCACATGCTTTTCAGTGGGAATGAAACTGCTTGCAGCTTTTGTCACTGTTTTTTTTTACTAAACGCTTAATTTTTTATCACCATTGTGATTGCTCAAAACAGGTAAAAATGGATCTGCTACAAACGTGCTCTTTCCATGCATCAGCTCATCTAGCTTATTCACAGATATCACCATGACGTGGGAGTAGTGTGCATTAGCAGTCGGAATGTCCTATGATAAAGGAAACCATTGCCCACGCGTCTTATTTAGAGCACTCGCCACTGTTGTTTAAATATGATAAAGAAGTAGCATTATTCATGCGAAGAATCTGTCTTGTGTACTTCATAAGTGGATAACAACGAATGCCAGAACAAATGATTCATTATTAGTAGAAGGTAAGTAATTTTCAGAATCTACTGATATCGCACCACCTGCAACCTCTCTGCAAAATAAGGTTAACATCGACGTTATCCCTGCAAAATGAATTTGGTGTTACAAGGTTAAGATAGCCCTAGCACTCTCATAAGCAACTAAAATGACTGAAGGAGCCAAGAAACAGTGTTTTTTCTCGCGAACTTTGTCCCCATGTGCTCTAAATTGACCAACAAAGTTAAGATGAGGAAAACGAAATGTTGTTTCCAGCCCATATATTGACTAAGATCTAAGGCAAAACGCTTGTATGCACTTACAACTCCAGTTTTCAAACCGATTTCGTTAAGGCGTGATATATGGGGGGGGGGGGGGGGGCTGTCCACCGCAAGAGGATACACACAGTTTCGGAACGGAACTTTTTGGCACATTGTCGTTTGACTGGAAAACCAAAGGTTTACACTTACGGTCGGCTTGATGAAGTTATTCTTACCTGATCGCCTGTAGTGTTTCAAATGTAACCGGTTAGTGCATGTCATGTTTCAAATGTACGAACCGTTAAGCGTCAGTTGGGGGCACAACATTTTGGTTCACTGGCTGCCAGAGCTGTTCTGGGAAAGCCGACCGCATGAGTTAGACTTCTTATGCGGGCAGCCACCGGCCTTCAAGACGCAAATAGATACTGGTTAAACGACATTATCAAACGAACACTGGTTGTATTGTCATGCCTGTGACCAAGGCATGATAAGATAACTGGACGTGCATTGAAGCCTGGGGAATCTGTGGTGCCTCCTGGCAAGGGCGGGGGGCCTGACACCGTCACAGACGTGGGGAACGCGTCCACACAACTTTCACAATGTGGGGGATCGTCCCCCACAGTCCAAAAGCTCCCGAATTGCCAACTGCATGCACGCGTATTCTAGTGAAGCGAATAACGGGGAACACTCAGACAGAACACTAGACACGCTTTACACAAGTCTTATGGCGTCAAACTGAACAC